AATATATTGTTCTAACTTGTCATGTCTAATAATGTCTGCAATCTGATATCGTATAGTCAACAGTTTCATCAAATTTATGTCATAAGCGACAAGCGGTATTCGCGTCTTCTTAGTAGGTTTTAGCCTTGTAGACATTAGTTGGAAGACATTGGACTTGTGGCACCACAATAAGGCCTTCTGTCTCTTCTGTTACGACGACCGTTTATCGATGACTAAATCATCTAGACGCTTTGAGTACTTTCTATACAAGGGTTTAGATCTCCATTTTTGTTTAATTGACTTCATAGAAGCAACTTTCGCGAATAAGTTAATATTCTTTTCCGCAGCAGTAGCCGGTTCAGGGTGATTGTCGTCTTGAGTATTGATATGTCCAAGAAAGGGATATATTTGTTCGAAGTAGCTAAGTGGTTTTGGCTACTATAACCGGTTAGGACAATATAGCAGGTAGCCGTAATGGACTGGTACTCGTCGTAGACGTAGGCAATATGTGTAGGCAATGGGCGTAGGCAATATGCGTTGACCATGTACCTCCACATCAGTCTGTATTTATGGTTGACACCAGTCAATCATATTACTGTGAGAGGGAACCCAGGTGTATGCATATTCATTAAATCAAGTATAAAATAACCTCATTATTATTATTAGTAGTAGTAGTAGTATTAATTTATGTTTGTTGTTCTGTGACAGTGACTGTTACTTCCGGTGGGTTTATTCATCCGCCATCTTTTTTTTTTATCTTTCTCTTCATTTTGTATCGTTTACTCCTTTCTACGTCTACTTTCTTCTATTCTTGAGTCTCGAGAATTTTCTTTTGTTTTTGAACTCTCCTGCACCCACCCGTTACCACACGGCTCGCTTGCTAGACTCTCCTCTCTTTTCTTATCTATCACAGATCTCATATCATCAGTGTCGACCTTTAGTTTGGCGCTCACCATGCCCCGAGCCGCATTTTCGCGCCAAAAAGTGATCCCAGCGTGACGTCACTTGACAGGAAACAAAACGAATGGATGGGTTTTTCAATCTTTTTCTAAGCGCCTTTATTTTTCTTTAATTAACTTGGAAGTAGAAAGAATATCTTCAATGCTCAAGAATATTTTATATTTTCTACAAAGGGAAGAAAAGAATGAAGGTAAAAAAAAAAATGGAACGAAAAACAAGACAAAGGAAAATATACAAAATGAATTTTACAAGTTCAGGAGGCTTTAAAGGACTCCTATCTGTCCTTCATCTTGCTTTTTTTTTTCTGTCTTTCTTTGACGTAACTCGGGAGCTCTCCATTTTTTATTCCCCTTCTTCCAGGCTTTAATTATTCATTCCTCTTCTTTCGCATTGTTTTGTACACTTTCCTTTCTTAAGCTCTTTCATACTTGCCTTTATTCAATTCCTTCACTAATTCGAACTTTTTCTTTTATAAAAGTCAACTTTTTATGCCTTCTTTGACATAATTTTCCATACTATCATATGCAGGCAAGCTTCTGTAGGAACATTATGCGAACATTATTCAATCCTTTATATAATAATAAAAAATAAAAAAAAATATATATATATATATATATATATATATGTGTGTGTGTGTGTGTGTGTGTGTGTGTAATCAAACAAATCCTTTTACCTCATGTGGGGGAATAGTCTATTTCGGCAGACAACGAAAATGGTCGTCTGTCTTTTCAGCTACGAAATGTCAGACAAGCACTTTAGTCGTCAATCGAAATAGACTATTCCCCATATGAGGTAAAAGGATTTGTTTGGATATTAATTATATTGCTCTGCATAAACAAAAGAGATTGAACCCTTTTTTGCGAACCAGTTCTAATATTTTCATATTACTAGTATACACGTGGATTATATGCCAACGAAATTTTTAACTTACTATATATATAATTTCTATATATATTATATATAATTTCTATATATATTATATATTCGTGGTACTTATTGGAAAGCGCTCAATATCAGTGATAGAACTATTATGGTCACTTGTATGGATATGAGTTTGTAATCCTGCATTTGAATATTTTGCGGTCATCAGACAAACTCTGAAATCTGATGAGCGCAAAATCGTGAAACTCATAGTTAAACACTCATATCCATAAAACAGTATATATATATATATATATATATATATATATATATATATATATATATATATAGAGAGAGAGAGAGATAGATAGATAGATAGAGAGAGTGAGGGAGTGATGAAGGATTTTTTTAAAATAGAAAGGTGCTCACTCGAATTTCATCCGTGCGATATATATATTCAATGTGCGATATATATATATATATATATATATATAGATAGATAGATAGATAGATATCGCATATGTATAATGTACGATATATATATATATATATATATATATATATATATAGAGAGAGAGAGAGAGAGAGAGAGAGAGAGAGTGTGTGTGTGTGTATAGTAGAGCATAGTAAATTAAATTTTCGTATATCGACTTTCGGGAAATCGTATTGAAGAAAATTTGCGTTCTCCGGCAGGAATTGAACCTGATTTCCTCATTTGTTTAGCCAGGCACGTTTTAACCTACATTGCCACGAAGAGCAGTCGGTTAGGCTAGGCCAAATTTCATGCTACCAAGCGAAATTCCTCCTGCCGTAGATCGCTCGAAGTTTTTCATACCTACCCAATTCCGTATTCAGAGTGTATTTAAAAAACATTTTTTAATAATGCGTCATATTTTATCATTTTAAACGTTATTTGTAGCGGGTATTGGTATTTGAGTAGACGCCCCATTTATTTATTAAAAAATACATTTATTTGTTTTCGCCTACAGGCCTTAATTTTCGAAAAATCTTATTAAAGAAAGATTAGCGCTGTCCGGCAGAAATTCATACCGATAGACGAAAATAAATAAAAAATATCGTTAATAAATAATAAGAACGTCTATTTCAATACTAATATCACTGAAAGTAACGTTTAAAGCAATAAATAATTGTCAGATTAATAAAATCTCTCTCTCTCTCTCTCTCAATATATATATATATATATATATATATATATATATATATATATATATATATATATATAATAGTGAACATTGAAGTCAACACTTAGATGCAACAATCTGTAACATGCTAGACGCAATCGACAGGCAACTCGATTACATCTAGCATGAAATAGACTGTCGCCTCTGAGTGTTGATTTCGATGCTTACATTTATATTTACACAGGCTCTATCTCTGATATTGAGCACTTTATCCCATAAATATAGCAAATCTTAAGACTATATTTCTCATATATATATATATATATATATATATGTGTGTGTGTGTGTGTGTGTTTGTGTGTGTATGTGTGTGTGTGTATTTTGGTATTAATCCGACAATATATATATATATATATATATATATATATATATATATATATATATATATATATATGGTAAAAATATTGTCTTAAAATATGCAATATTTTATCCAGAATAGTACGTATGTAAATATGAATTGACAGCTGGGGTCAACAACCAGAGGCGACAGTCTGTTTCATGCTTAAACATAATCTTCAAGCCATGTGTGTAATGCTCTGGCGGGACTATCTATATATGCTGTTCAATGGTGCATTATGGGTAGATATTTTGTATATTCTATCGGTTATTATGCGAGCAGTAGCGGATATTTTTCAAATTATAGAAGAGGCTATTTAGATGAAATAATTGTGTATACGAATGCAGTTATCTGTAGCTATTGTGAAGTGGTTGTCTGTTAAACATTTTACTCCATACTGATTACTTAATTATATCTTGTTGGCTACCATCACAATTGCTTTCGTAGTTTGTTAATTTGTTTATTATACCTACCAATAATGTACTATTGACCAGCATATATAAATAGCGGCGCCAAAACTACACACATGGCCTGAGGATTGCCTTTAAGCATGAAACAGACTGTTGCTGGCCCTTTGGGTCATTTGATGAGATAAACTAACAGACTACTTAAGTGTTTAAATAAATCGACTGGTTTAATTAAAACTTCGTTAACACCAGTGTATTCATTGGTCTGTTGTTTTTGCGTAACGGCATATCAATATCTCTATGGGTCAGTTAACTCCAAAATTTAAATATCGCATGCGGAATTTTATTTTATTTTTAGGCATAACTATGGTTTAGCGATACTAATCTTGTTAATTAACCCATAGCTGGGAGGAGAAGAGGCGGATTCATACCGCTCCCAAGTTATCTGCGCGTAAGTGAATATAAAGAACCCAATTGGAAGTGGAACTCGGTTCTCTGATTAACAATTCCAAGCTGTTATCCATTACACCACCCGTACATCCAAGTTCACAGCCTGTGGTATTAGCAAGCGGTCACCCATTTAGGTACTGACCAGGCCCGATGTTGCTTAACCGGTGTTTGAAAGTGATGTGGCCGTGAGCTTCAGTGGTTTGGCATATGCCAATCTATTAAAAAAAATGAAAAGACTGTGTGGAGCACCGGAGAAAATTAAAGAAATTTAACACACAAAACGCCGAGTATTGTTGTTAATATAATATTATAATTAAGTTCTGGATCAATAAATTTAATCTTGTATTTTAGCCGATTTTTATTTCGTTTCTAAAAATGTGATATTAGCTTCTGAACAACGGAATATTTTTATGACGTCATCGTCTCCGGCGTACACGTCGTTACTGAAATTGATGTTCCTGCCCTCCTGTTCTCGTTGTTTGCGTGAAAATGCGAGATTAGCATCATGGTTGCAAGATGCGATTAACAATTTTCTTGCTGCGGCAAACAAATTTATTTCTTGCGTTTAAGTCTGCCATTTCGCCATAAATCTCCTTCGCATGTTTTGCCCCGAACCATCACATTCATCAGCATTTTAAAAATTTAATTGGACAAAGAAGAAACAAAATTTTGTAAGAAAAGTGGCAATTAAAGTAAATTTTGAAAGAATAATGTTTAAGAAAGTCAAAACGAGATTAAGAAAACGATAACGAGACCAAAAATCAAGAGTTTGGAAAAGAAAGAAAGGAGTTAAACAAGGCGGGGTTATTCAAAAGTGGAAAAGTGATGAGTTCGAAGACTGGGGAAACGCAATTGTATTGGAGGTATGGAGAGATTAATGAGGGAATCCGACGACGTGACAATGAGTAAAAGAAAGAAAGAAAGAAAGAAAGAAAGAAAGAAAGAAAGAAAACGAGAATCGGGAAAAAGTGATTGGAAAAGAAAGGAAAAAGAAAGAAGGAAAAATAGATTTGCGAAAGAACAAAAAAGAAAGAAAGATAAAGATATATAAAAAGAAAAGAATAGATGATGCAATAAGAAAGAAAGAAAGAAAGAAAGAAAGAAAGAAAGAAATGGAGGCATTAGAAGGAAAGAAAGAAAAAGAAAGAGAGAAAACGTATCATGTGAGGAAGAAAGAAAGCAAAGATACTAGAAGAAAAAAAGAAAGTAGAAGAGACTTAAGAAAAGGAAAGAAAGAAGGAAGGAAATAAAGGAAAGAAAAAAGAAAGAGAGCCAATATATGAGAAGAAAGAAAGAAAAGGAAACATGAAGAAAAAGAAAGAAAGAAAGAAAGAAAGAAAGAAAGACCGGGGAAGAGAAAAGCAAGGAAGGAAAAAAGTGTTATATGAATGAAATAAAACAAAGAAAAAAAGAATGAAATAAAAAAAAGAGAGCAAACGTGCGAGAATAAAAAAGAAAAGGAGACATGAAAGTGAAAAAGCATGATAACGTGACACAAAATGAAGAGAAAAAGGAAGGAAAGGAGGAAGTAAAAGAGTTATACGGAGGTAAGAAAGAAAGAAAGCCAGCAAACGTACGAAAAGAAAGAAATAAAGAAAAGAAGACATGAGAAGAAAGAAAGAAAAGAAATAAATAAATAAAGAAAGAAAGAAAGAAAGAAATAGAAACACAAAAAGAAGGAAAAAAGTGGAAGGAAGGAAGGAAGGAAGGAAGGAAGGAATGAAGGAAGGAAGGAAGGAAGGAAAAGCATTATATGGAGGTAAGAAAGAAAAAAAGCAAACGAACGAAAAGAAAGAAATAAAGAAATAAAGTAAACGACACATGAGAAGAAAGAAAGAAAGAAAGAAAGAAAGAAAGATGTGAGGAAAAAAGTAATGCAGGTAGGAAGGAAAGAAAGCGTTATAAGACGGAAACAACAGAAAGAGAGAAAAAGCGTTATGATATGAAAAAGAAAGAGACACGAAAGAGAACGAAACAAAGACATAGGTTAAAAAAAAAAGCAAATAAAAGAATATAAATATAAAGATAGTCTCTTCGTCCACCGCAAGGAAAGTTGGCTCCCTGTGCCGCGCCAGGAATTTTTTCTCCCCGGAATCGATCCTCCAGATCTACAAATCAAAAATTCCCCCCTGCATGGAGTATTGCTGCCATATATGGTCTGGAGCCCCTTCTGTTTGCCTCGGGGTTCTTGATAGGCTCCAGAGGCGGATATGCAATATAATTGCCCCTGTTCTGGCATCTCGTCTACAGTCACTTTCTCACAGACCTGCCGTCGTCTCTCTCTGTCTGTTTTACAAATAGTTTCATGGCAATTGCTCCGAGGAGCTGCATTCGCTGGTTCCCAGACTTCATGAGTTCAAGCGCCTTACGAGTCTGGCATCCCGCTCTCACTCTTTCACTGTCGAAACTCTTAAATGTAGCCGTCTCTTCTTCTCCAATAGCTTCATGTCCCGCACCCCTCGCCTGTGGAACTCCCTTCCCTATTCCAGTTTCCCTGAGATCTATAATCTCCAACTATTCAAATGTAATGTCAATCGACATCTACAGTTGCCCTGATCTATCCACTACCCTTCTCCTCATCCTTTCTTCTATCACTTCTATCTGATCTTGCTCCAAATTTTCTGTAACCCCTTGCGTCCTAGTGGCTTCCCGCCATGCTTGGGGTGAAACGCTTAGAAAAAAAAAACAAAAAAAAAAACACTCAAGATGAAAGAAGGAATATGAGGAAACAAAAGATATAAGAGGAAATTGCTAAGAGAAGAAAAGGAATAAAGGAATAAAGAAATAAAAAGATTAAAGAAATAAAAGATTAAAGGATTAAAAGATTAAAGGAATAAAGGAAAAAAGAAGCAACATGAAAAATACGAAGTGACTTACGAATATGGAAGAAAGAAATTATGACAAAAAATCTGGAATAAAATGAAAGAAGATATGAAAAACAAAAAACAAAAAAACTAGAAGACAAATTAAGAAAAGTTACAGCAAAATAAAAAAGGAACGGAAAATAGTTTTGAAAAAGAAAGAAAAATAGATTCGTTTTTTTTTTTTTTCCGGCGTATCAACCATTTGCAGGTTATTTAAAGCCAGAAATATTTTTAAATTCTTAGATTTTTTTTTATGTTGGGTGTGGGGAGATAATAATGATTTACTGATACAAGTCTTACTAATTAACCCATAACTGGGGGGTAAAAGAAGGATATTCATAGCTTTCCCACGGGTATTTGCGCGTAAGTCAATTCCAAGCGGAATTGGAACTCGGAACTTTTGTTACCAATTCCGAACCATTATCCGTTCCACCAGCCGCACATCAAATTTTGCAGCGCCTGGTACTCCCAAGCGGTCACCCACCAAAGATACTGACCAGGCTAGACATTGCTCAAGTTCGGAAATCGTACGTGAACCGGTGTTTCAACGTAATGTGGCCGTAATCATGATTATAATTAAGAGTCCTTACCCACGATAAAAGGGAAAAACAACCTCCATTTTCTTTTTTAACATTTAAAAACCGCTATGCCGTATGGGGTTACTGAGAGTGAAAGAAACTAAGAAAATGTTATTGGGGAGAAAGGACATTAATACAAACAAGATTTAAGAAAACAGAAGATGAAGGTAGAGGTTGAATTTAATATTTCTAATGAGCAGTGTTCCGCCAGCTAGAAGTACAAAAGAAGAAACTATTAGCAAAGAACTTGCGGTTGTTTTTTTTTTTTTTTTTTTTTAAGCGATTCACCCCAAGCAAGGCGAGAAGCCACTAGGACACAAGGGGTTACAGAAAATTTCGAGCAAGACCAGATAGGAGTGATAGAAGAAAGGATGAGGAGAAGGGTAGTGGATAGATCAAGGCAAGTGGAGATGTCGATTGACATTACATTTGAGTAGCTGGAGATTATAGCTCTCAGGGAAACTGAAATAGGGAAGGGAGTTCCACAGGCGAGAGGTGCGAGACATGAAGCTATTGGAGAAGAAGAGACGGCTACATTTAGGAGTTTCGACAGTGAAGGGTTCGCGAGCGAGATGCCAGCCTCGTAGGGCGCTTGAACTCATGAAGTCTGGGAACCAGCGAATGCAGCTCCTCAGAGCAATTGCCATGAAAGTATTTGTAAAACAGACAGAGAGAGGCGACGGCGCGTCTGTGAGAAAGTGACTGTAGACGAGATGTCAGAACAGGGCCAATTATATTGCATATCCGCCTCTGGAGCCTATCAAGAACCCCGAGGCAAACAGAAGTGGCTCCAGACCATATATGACAGCAATACTCCATACAAGGGCAAAATTTTGATTTGTAGATCTGGAGGATCTATTCCGAGGAGAAAAATTTTCTGGCGCGGCACAGGGAGTCAACTTTCCTTGCGGTGGACGAAGCAATTGACTCAATGTATTTGTTCCATCTCAGGTCAGCCGTCAACGTGAGACCGAGCAGCCGCAGAGAGTTGCTCTCGAGAAGTTGAGCGTCAGACATTCTAATGGAGGACAGGGAAGGATCTCTGTGGTGATTAATAGAGAGAAGTTTTGTTTTTGAAGCATTAAAGTTGACCAGCCAATTCCTGCCCCAGTTCAAAACCGATAGCATATAAAATCTTTAGATTTCTGTGGGGAAAATAGAAACGGCCTACCTCGCAAACGTTCTCGCATCTTCCTGGCCTGTGGGTTGAGAAAGGAAAGAAAAGATTCAAAATGGCGTCCGTGACTTTTAATATTCACGGTCTCGTGCAGTCACGCAAAGTCGCGTTACACACATGCTAATGAGGTGTGTCTGGGCTCCATAAAAGCGGGTTGCTTGGAGACATTGGCAGACCAACATTTCACCCGTGCTTGGTGTACATCGTTTTGCGTTGCAGACATTTTCAGACGGAAAGAGTTGCGTCCCTTACACTGTTTAAGTCGACTCATTTGCTACAAGCTATTTCGGCAATTATTACAGCATGGACAGATTCGACTTGAAGTTAATACCAGAGTTCGACGGCTCCCCCCCGCTGGCCCGTCTGTGGTCGAGTGGTGGGGAAAAGGCCGAGCGGGTCTGCCGGCTGTGTAAAATTAAAGATCCCGCACTGGTTATCCCTCTTAGACTCACCAAAGGAGCTTACGCTGTGTATCAGCAGCTAAGGGATGACGCAGACTTGGAGGAAATAAAACAAGCTCTATACGCAGCATTTGGTGCGGACCCCTTTGTCGCCTGGAGGCAGTTTACCGAACGACGGCTTGGACCGGATAAAACAGTAGATGTCTTTCTGGCCGATTTGAGGAAGCTGGCCGCACCGTTCGGTGGAGCAAGCGACCAAATCCTAGGATGCGCCTTTCTGGCAGGACTCCCAGACAACGCAAGTCGACTGCTACGAGCATCGTCAAGGCTCAATGAGCTGGGGCTAGACGAATTACTGGCCAGAGCCCGGAATATTCTAAAAGATGACGCGGAGCCGGCCTCAGCAGCTGTGGAAGCACCCGCACCGCCAACTGAGGACATAAGGTGCTATAAGTGTGGCGGACTGAACCACTTCTCCAAAGACTGCCGAAGCCGTGCGAAGGATACGCATAACCGAGGAACACGGAGACGTATGCGTTGCTACAGGTGCGACAAGCTGGGCCACGTAGCAAGAAGCTGTCCGGGAAACGGGCAAGGGGTAAGCTACAGCGCCAGTCTTCTCCCCAGATCGCCGCTGAACAAGGCGCTACCCGCAGTGAGCGTGCGGATTAACGGGCGTGAGCGCTTCGCGCTTGTTGACACCAGGTGCACCCAGACTCTTGTGCGCAAGGCATGTTGTGACACGTGGGACAAGAAAAAATATTCCAGTTCTGACTGTTGGCGGGGGCTCGCTAACCTCTTGTGGAGTGAGCGTCATCCGCGCAAGCATCGGCGATGGGCCTGCAGTAGCTGTACAAGCCCTGGTCGTGGACGGAGGGCTGCTCGGCTATGATCTGCTCCTGGGAATGGACGTCATCAAAAATTGGGTGGTGTCCGTGTTGACGAAGAGGGTCGGGCGCGTTTCACTGAAACAGGTCTAGCTCTAAGTGCAGCAATGGAGCTGGAACGGCCTGACTTTCGTGCGGAGTTCGACCAGCGCACAAAGTCCTGGACGGTATCTTTGAAATGGTCAGACGATCAACCGCCAGAGAAGCTGTACAACAGTGTGCCGGGTATAAGATCCCCCGCGAGCTCGTGCGGAGTACGATAAGGAATTGCGAGCCTGGATTAATAACGGGTGGTTGGTTCCTTATCCAGAGAAGGAATTGGGGCCCCAAAGGGCCTGATCCCGCTAATGGCGGTTCTCCAGCACAACAAACAAAAAGGTGAGGCCGGTGCTCGACTATCGAGAACTGAACGAGCACGTGGACCCTTTACTGCCCGCGCGGACGTGTGTACCGAGAAGCTAAGGGAATGGCGACAAGCAGGATCAAATGTATCTGTGCTGGATCTTCGAAAGGCATACCTTCAAGTGCGTGTGCACCAATCACTGTGGCCCTATCAAACCGTGCTTATCAAGGGGCAACGGTATTGCCTGACCCGCATGGGGTTTGGACTCAATGTGGCGCCATCGATTATGCAGATGATTGTTGACGCCATTCTAACGAAGGATGAGCGCATACAGCGGGCAACATCTGCATATATTGATGACGTGTACGTGAACGAGGGAGTCGTATCTGCGGCGCGCGTGAAGGAGCATCTCTACAACTTTGGCCTCCTCAGCAAGGAACCGGAGAGACTACAGGATGGTGCACGGGTGCTTGGTTTGCAGGTCTGGGGAGAAGATAACGTCCTGTATTGGAAACGGGGAAACGAACTCCCAGACATGCCCTCCGTTGTCACGCGGCGAAGCATATTTTCCTTGTGCGGCAAGTTAGTTGGACACCTTCCTGTAGGTGGCTGGCTGCGTGTTGCGGTGGCGTTTATCAAGCGGAGAGCATCTGACGTCACCACTGGATGGGATGACGAAGTTCACGACGCCCCTCTCAACACCATGATGAAGGAGGTCCTCGCTAGAGTACGCAAGGAAGACCCAGCGCGGGGCAGATGGTGCGTTGACAGCCAAGACCTCTGTGTGTGGGTTGACGCAAGCTCTCTTGCAACCGGCGTATCGATAGTTCACGATGGAGCCGTGGTAGAAGATGCTTGCTGGTTACGTCAGAAAGGGACTCCCAGCACATAAACCTAGCGGAGCTCGATGCTGTCATCAAGGGGATCAACTTGGCGATCCTCTGGAAGTCGACCACCCTGCGTCTGTTCACTGATTCCGCTTGCGTTTATAAGTGGATCTCTGATACCTTGACCGGGAGGGCCAGGGTGCGGACTAAAGCCACCAGCGAGATGCTTATCCGACGACGGCTCGACACGATCGTGAATTTAGTGCAAGAGTACGCACTGACAATGGAGGTGTCCCTGGTCAAATCTAGCCTCAACAAAGCAGATTGTTTAACGAGGGTGCCGCAAAGGTGGCTTGACGCCGCTAAGAAAGCCATTGAGCCCGTGCAACCAGCCTGTGCTGAGTCCCGTTCGATTTAATCAAATCAAAGAAGTCCACCAACAAAGTGGGCACCCTGGAGTCAAGCGGACACTGTATTTCGCCAAGTTGGTTGACCCAGGAGTACAAAAGACAGACGTCAGGAGAGTGGTCAGAAGCTGCGTGGCGTGCCAGTCTATAGACCCAGCACCCGTTCGCTGGAAGAAAGGGCAGCTGAGCGTGAGGAACCACTGGAGCCGGCTGGCGATAGATGTTACTCACCACAACGGCGAGCATTTCCTGACACTCATTGATTGTGGCCCATCCAGGTTTGCGATATGGCGACTGCTGCGTCGGCAAGATGCAGCCACTATCATCCGTCAGTTAAACAGCATCTTTCTTGAACGTGGCCCCCAACGGAGATATTAACCGACAATGGCACCGCATTCACCAGCGAGCAGTTCGAAGTTTGCGGATGGCTGGGGAGTGCACTTACGGTTCCGGTGCGCCCACGTACCGAGTGGAAATGGAATCATCGAGCGGAACCACAGGACCGTCAAGACCATCGCAGCCAGAACGGGCTGCACGGTGTCTGAGGCGGTCTACTTATACAACGTGACCCCGAAGGATGATGTCTCACCCTCTACGGCGCCAGCAGACACATTGCATAGGTACCACATTAGAGTGAAGGGCATAGAAACCAACCCACTGACGGAACTGAAAGTAACCGGAGAGAGGCTGAAGAAAGGCGATGTCGTCTGGATTAAAAATCCGCACAGCAAGTGCACCACGAAATACGGAATCGGACGCGTCACTGAGGTGATCAGCCCACAGGCGGTACGGGTCGACGGTGTGCCCCGTCACGTTAAGGACCTGCGTCCGTCGACGCAGTTGCAACCACCGCTGGACGATGAGAGCGAATCGGAATCCGAGACCAGTGAGGCATCGCTCTGGTTCACGCCAGCCACATCAGGCAGTGACTCGGATATCAGTA